GTGTAGAGAACAGACGTTCTGTTCACCTCACCACTAGCTGCCCAAAGAAGCCTGGGCATTCTCAGAAGAGAAAGGAGGGGGAGGGGCCTAGCTCACCTTCCTCACTGGCCTCCTCCTCTTCTTCCTCTGTTGAATCGTCAGAGATGATTTCGACCTCCTCCTCATAGACATCCTGGTTGGTGCTGTTATCTAGAGCCTTATCAAAGACTTCAATGCCATTCTTATAGTATTTAATGTCCCTGTCATCATCATCGCTGCCCTCATTGTCACCCTCATTGCCATCATCATCACTGCCCTCACTGTCACCTTCATTGCCATCATTATCTTCGTCGTCACTGCCCTCGTCTCCATTGTCACTATCACTGCTCTCTTGGAAGTTAGGGCCCTGCTGATTGTCACCTTCTAGGTTCTCGCTGTCACCATCAGCTTTCTCATTGATGGAATCCTCACTGTCAGAGGAGTTCTTCTCGTCTGGGTTCTCGCTGCTGTCATCTGTACTCACGGCATTGCTCTCGATCTTATTGCTGGGGCCCTCAGTATGGTCAGGGGCCTCGCTGTCACACAGGGGCTCATTGATGTCGGTTACCTCGTTATCAGTGGTCTCAAAGTAGTCGGTGGTCTCCATGAAGTCAGAGATCTTGATGTCATGAAAGGTCTCATTGTCAGTGATCTCATCAATTTCTGAGATTTCACTGAGAATGTCTTCAATGGCATAATGGTCATGAGCATCTTCCATGATCACCATTTCATATTCTCTCTTGGCTTTACTGTGGGGAAGTTTGAAGCTGAGTATAAGGTTAATGGGAGAAACTGGGAAGGCACTAGGGTACTAGGGCTTCTAAGAGTGGGGGAAAGTCCCATTGCCACCCCTAACTGTAACCTCAGGCCACTTCTGGGCATCACTGCTCATTTGTAAACAATGCATTGGATTATCTCAATGGTCCCTTGCACCTCTATAAATCCTGTGTGACACTAGTCTAGTCTCTGCCCTATTGGAAAACAAAACAAAACAAAACACCCTCTCAGGCACCAATTCTTGAATCACCTTTCCTTTCTTTCCTGCTTCCTTCTGTTTGTCCTGTAGCCACTTCCTCTCATGTAGTAGCGCACTGGATTAACCCATAGGTCGTTCTTGATAATCTGTCGAGAGAGGGGGTAAAAGAGAGAAAAGAGCCATGAGTATAAGCCCTAGAACCTAGTCACAATTTCTCAGGCCCCCAGGGGCAAGTCTGGCAAGGCTTTCTTTGGCAATGCCAGGAGGGGGTTTCACCTCAGCAATTCTGTCAGCTTCTGGGAGGCTGTGGTTGGAAAACCAGTTGAAGAAGCTTTCTCTGGTGTCATGGTTCCTGCGATGATAGGCCTGGGGTTCCTGCCCCCGGTGCCAACGTATCGGGGTAGAATGAGACACCAAGCGGCCTAGAAAAAGCGGACGAGATGCAGAGGGGGTAGCAATGATAGCACGGGGGCCACAGACTCGTTCGGCCACTTACCTGAGCGGTTGCGCTGGAACTCCTTGACGATCACCGTGTTTGTAAAGTAAGGGTTGGTCTGGAAGTACAGCTTCATTTTGTAGCCCATGGAGATATGTCTGAGATCCTGTACCTGCTCAGGGTGGGGGTAATGGTGGTATATATCCCTTCCATGGCCCTTCCCACCCCCCCCTCACCTCTAAGGACCAGATTCCTTGGCTTTCCTTCTTCGTCTGACCTGGAGATTGGTCAAGTAGCGGAAAATGTCTTCATCGCGTTGGTTGATCAAGATTGAAATTTTGGGGTGGTTGAGGAACTAATGAGTGGAGCAGTTTAGGTCAAGGATTTACTGTTCAGTATGAAGGAGGGCAGAGCAAAACAGGGTTGCTTCTATGTTTCAGTGATGTCTGTGGAGTACATGAGTGCTTATGCAATGTTAAGCCTCAGTGCTAGGTAGCCTTGCCATGGTTCATATTTGCTGCGTGTCTGGATGCTAAGGCTCCGTGACCATGTCCATGTGATCCTTGTCTCTTGGTGACAGGTGCTTATGTTCACAAAATGCTATGGGTCTGGGAGCTGAAAGCCCAAGTCTAAGTACTAATGTATTTGGTTACCAAGAGCCTGTATTTACATGATGTTACATATGTAGGGGGTACATGTGTTGGTGGTCAGTGTCCACATGATGTATAAATGGCTCTGGTGGTCTGCATGCTTAGGCCGTTACCTCATCCTGTGCCTGTCTGCTGAGGGCCTGTGATCATGTGACACGTTTTATCATGGGCCAAGTATTTATATCTATATAAATTCTATTAAAATGTTGAACCTATGTATTTCAAATGTTACATATCTGTTTCCTGGGGATGAGCTCAACAGCCACCAGTAGTGGATTAGATTCTTCCTGGTCTACCTTTTCCTTCATTTAACCACTTGACCTCCACATCCAAGTGGTCTTTCTCCTGATTCTTCAGGGGTTCCATCCCATTGCTCTCATTTCCCCTCTAATAGAGGGTATTGTAGACAGATTTGAGGTCTCTAGATATCTAAGCAGAAACTCAGGCTTACAGAGCCTTGTGTGGTTTCAGCACCCTTCCTGGAGTTTATCTGCCCTCCCTCCCTCCCTCCCGTCAGCTCATCACCTGTATTCCCCTCCCCCTTTTACTGTCTGTGATCCTGTTTATCAGCTGCGTGCCTTCTCTGTTATCCCTCCCTCTGTGATCCGTTTTTTTTTTTATGTTATGGTGCGACTGTTTTCCCATCTGCAGTCCAGTTTTTATGCTATTTTGCCCTCTTGCCATCCCTCTTCTACTCATTCTAGAATCTTCTAATGGGGATTCCTTCCCATCTCTGACCCTCCCCCACACCCCTTGTTTCTCTTCTGCACATCTCTCCTTCAGACATGGGCTTCTGACCCATGAGTATCGATGAGAAGGATACTGCTTTGACCCAGAAGCCTGGGATATGCTGGATGATGAGGTCTCTGCGCTCCAAAAAGGGTCTTCGCATCTGGATGAATTTGCGTTTGAGACGCAAGAAGGCCTTGCCCGCCTTGATGTTCACCGCCTCCAGGTCCATTTGAATGCTCTCCAGGGCCTGCAGTATGCTTTCCATCCTCTGGGCACTCCTCTCTCGGCTCTCCTTCACCTTCCTCAGCCTCCTCCTCCTCCTCCTACGCCGCCGCTGCCGCCTCCTCACACTTTCCTTTTCATCCTCATCATCATCTTCCACTATGATGATAGCCTCTTCCTTCCTCTTTGGACCGACTAACATCTGGGGCCCCCACCCCCCCAAGCTACAGGTTTCTAGGGCCTTCTCTCCAGCAAGGCTGCTGGGCTCTGCAACCTGAAAGTCAATTTCCAGGCTCCCCCCAGAGGTTTCTGAAGAGGGGAGTGTATCCATGATCCCTGTGGGAGGGGGCTCCCCAAATCCCGACTCTATTGCAGGATCCCAGCCGGGACACCCAGTACCCAGGGTGAAATACGCGCGGATCCCTCCCTCCTCGAGAATGACATAGGGCAGTGGTGGGGGCAGCGTGGGGCCCACCCCCCTCATGTCAGCCAGCACCTGTGCAGCCTCGGTTTCTTCCTGGGGTCTCGGACGCTGCTGGGGTGGAGGCAGGGGCAGTCGCAGGAGCGGCGGGGGTGGCGGGGGCGGCAGGTCGCGCTGACGGGGTTCCGAGCTGCTCAGGCGGGGGGTCTTGGCCGGAGGCCCCTCATCCGGGCGGTCCATGGTGACCGCGCTCAAAGCTCAGGGAATTGCGCTGGTTCTTCCGCTCTCAGACGAGGCCGTCGCCGCCAGTCACACTTGAAGCGGAGCCGCCACACCTCACGCGACCAGCTCCGCTCACCACCTCGCTCTGACGTCCCCTCCCACAGCGCCTGCCCCGCTCCCACAGCGCCAGTCGCCGAGGCTCCGCCCACTCCTTGGCAAGGCGTCTGTCCTGCCCACCATTGGCTGCCGGCCTCGGAGGTGGCGTTAGCGTTCCCCTCAACCCCTGCCTTCTCTCACGCAATCCGCTTGCCAACACTACACATCATCGTTTTCTAATTGGCTCCCTTCGCACCTACCAATCATCAGGCTGACTGGCCCAGTGATGAGAGGAAAACTGAAGGGCGATTGGCTGTGAGGAAAGCTAGGGTAAGAAACCCCTTACCCTCGTTCTTGCAATGTTTTATCCAATGGGAAAAGTACCAGCGATTCGGAAGACCAAAGACGAGACGCGGAGAGGGTGGCTGGGAGTGCGCAAGCACCGGGGAGCGAGATGTGCTCGAATGAAATCAGAGAGCCTCGCTATCGTTCTCCCCGCCCCGCTCCCCAGATCAACTACGCACTTTGAAAAATCTGTCCCTTCCCCCACCAGCTTATGTCCCAGGGGTGAGCGCTGTAGCCCCTCAGACGTAGGTTGCCTTGACGTGCTAGTAATTTAAGTATCTGAGGTCTTTGGTTTGGTGGTCAGGTTTTGACATGGCTTTTTCCATCTCTGCAAAATGGCTCCAGAAACAATCACAGACGCAAAAAAAAAAAAAAAAAATGACTTCCTCTGCGTCATAAAAATTGATTGAGATTCAACTAATCTGCTAGATTTTTCTAGAACTTAAAAACTCTCTTTGTGTACACAGTATTTCTCCCAGCTTTTCCTAAGTGAATGTCGCTATTAATCATACCCTAAGATTTTATTTTATTTTATTTATGACCAGAGATAGCCGGTCTTTGACGAGGCATGATGGTGGAGTTTTGGCTTTGGTTCTAGAGTTCACATCGCAGGAGACTACCACTGTGACTCTAGCCAAATCACTGCCCCTCTCTGAGCTCGTTTCCTTTAAATTAGGCATCCCTAAGGAGAGGAGATAATTGCCCATTGCAGCCTTGCTGTGGTAGCAGAGGGAAGGAACCCAGGAATCCATTACCAGGAGAATGGATAAAATGTGATATATGTTTGAGATGGACTGCTAGAATGAATTTGATCTATGTATAGCAACATGGCTGGATCTCTCAAAAACCAGAATGTTGAGTGAAAAAAGAAACAGAACAAGATTTATAGTACAATACTGTTTATGTAAATCAAAACATCAATACCATATATTTTCCACAGATACACATAAGTAAATAAACACATGAACGGTGGTTTAGAAGGACACACATTAAGTACAGAAGAGTGGTGCCTATGTGGGGTGGGGAAGGATGGGATCGGGGATGGGTGATGAAGGGCACAAAACAAAATAATAAAAGGACCTTGCATGGACCAATGATGATATAGTGTGCCAAGAACTGAGGAATATGGTTAGCTCAATTCTGTGCACCTGAAGGAATAAGTAAATAAATAGTAAATTAATTGAGTGCCTAGGGAGTAGGCCAGCTGGGTAGACCCTCAGATTTGGGTTTTTTCTCCATGTCATCCTTCCTTCTGAATTTAGTCAAAACTGAGCTAAGTCCCAGCTGTATACAGTGGAACCTTAAGAATTCCCAGTTCAAACTGAGCAGTTCCTCTAAAAGCCATTACATTGCAGGGGGCCATTTCTTAACCCCATTACCTCCATGTTTGATCCCCCCATTCCCAGTTCCTATTTCCATGGTGATCCAATTTCAGAAATACATTATTTGAATTTTGGGGTAGGCACTGAATCTCCAGACATTTGGAAGAGATGGGGTTCTAAACTATCCTCTCCTCACCTGGTGCTCAGAAGCTGGGCCAAGGGAAGACAATCTCATGAGATGGGAGTTGACCCTCTTGACACATACATACATAAAAAATTTCAGGTTCCATCTCCTAAGCACTCTATTTCCTGCTGCAGGCACATACTAAGTTTTGTCTCCTCTCCTCCTTCGTGTGTCTCCTCTCCCTGTGTGTGTGTGTGTGTGTGTGTGTGTGTGTGTGTGTGTGTGTACTCTATTCCCTCACATATAGGTATTTGCTTACATATGTGTACCAGGCAAACTTTCCTCAGGGTTTCCTATCCACACAAAGTTACACAGACACACACTGTCTCACTCAATCATACCTCCCCGCATGTGATCATACACAGATAGGACACACAGACAGAGACAAACACGAGAGAGAGAGAGAGAGAGAGAGAGAGAGAGAGAGAGAGAGAGAGAGAGAGAGAGAGAGAGAGAGAGAGAGAGAGAGAGAGAAGACACCCAATATAACATTGTTCATTTCAGTTTTTCCATTTACAAAATCCAATGATGAATCCAGGCAGTTAGAAAAAGGGAATGGAGGAAACCCCTCCTGAGTCTACCCTATTTGCCCTCCCACCTTGGTCTTTCCACCCCTGCCTTCAGAAAGGCATTCCTATCATCATCACTGAGAGAATAGCCCAGCCCCCCCACATTCCCAGCCTCTCAGCTACTCTGGTCTGCTTTTCCAGGGCCACTCCACAACCAGGATCATCAATATCTCGTCTGTCTAGAGCACCCCCTTCATTGCTTTTGGGTCAAGGCTTCCTCAGTTCAGGGGCTATCTTGGGGTAGAGGTGGAGTTTAGGACAGGAGTTTATAAGGAAAGAAAGGGGATGGAGAGATCACAGTCCCAAACTTAGGCAAAGAGTTCCAGCTTGGCTCACCAGTCTATAGAACCGACCTTGAAGTAAGCCCAGAGTGGTCTCTGTCTGTGGAAAAGAGGCTTGGGACCTTCCACCTGTGGAATTCAGGTGTGGTCTGCTCCACTTTGCGTGTAAGTAAGGGTGGAGGTAGGAAGAACTGCGAGGAAGGATATTTGGGACCCAGAAGGGCAACTAAGGAGGGACTCAAGGCCTGTGAGTCCTGAAAGGGACAAAAAGAGGTCACAGGAAGGAATGGACTCAACTCCACGGGGCCTTGAAGTTTGTAGCACTATTGGTTACCAAGGCCCCCAAAGAATTTTCATTTTCAGAAGAATAGTGTGAACCCAAGCAACAACTGTGGGGGTGAATTAGCTCTCACCCCAGGCTCTGGAGTCCATCCACTCTGAGGAGTTCAATCATCTCCCTATACTTCCACGGATAACTTCCCCTGTCAGCATATACCCACATCATCCCTGGTGGGGACAAGTGGATGTATATTTCTAGGAAGAAAGGATAGGGGATCCAAGAGAAAGTTTGGGAGAATGTAGCTAATTTTGGTATATTTTGCTTGAGGAGCTCATCTACTATTCAGCTCTTCATCTAGCCTGGGCACATCATGGAGACCCTTCTCTGTATGCTCTTGGCTTCTCAAACAGAGCCTCAAGAAACACCTGCAAAGTCTGGATACGGTAGGGAGGAATAGGAGACTAGGCTTGGGATCAAGGTTAGCCAAAAACAACATTGCACACAACATAGCAATTTAAACATCCTTGCTCCCCAGGAGGGCAGCACCCCATTTGGTCCCTCTTGTGTGAAGCCTTAAGTCAATATTTCCTAAACATCCAGGTCTTGCTAAGGGACTTAGAAGGGGAGGGTGAATGGGAGCCCAGGGGGCAGTAAGATCTCTGGAAATCTATTTTACAGGAGAAATTTCCCATTTCTTGACAATGTCAAGGGGGGGGGGGGTAACATTTAAGCAAGAAAGCCTGTTTCCTCAGCTGTTATTATTAAAAAACCCTGCATTTTCAGTTCGTTTTCTTTTACTGACTCGTCACTTTAGAAAGATAGGAGAGGGAAGAGGGATAGGGAGGCAGGGAGGGCACGGGAAAAGGAGACTGGAGAAGTGGAGGAGGCTGCGGGCAAGCCCACAAAACTAGAAATGCCTCCAGTTCCTCAGCCAGTTTCTAGCCCTAAGGAGGTGTTGGCAAAATGCCTCAGTTAGGGATGGTTTGAGAGCCTGGGCTGAAGCTCAAAAAGGAAGGCTTCTGTATGGGTCCCACTCTTCCCCTGCTGTTGGCCCCAGTACGCTCCTCATGACTTTCCCCCTGCCTATCACCTACTGGCTTGCTTCACATGACACAGTAGGGTTCCCTGGGAGCTGGGGCACCTCCTGTGCCCCAGCAAGGGGCATGAGTCCTCAGGCACTTCTTGAGGTCCTTGTTAAGCAGGAAGCAGACGATTGGGTTGACGGCAGCCTGGGCGAAGCTCATCCAAACAGCAGTGGCCAGGTAGCGGTGGGGCACAGCGCAGGCTTTCACAAACACTCGCCAGTAGCAGGCCACGATGTATGGTGACCAGAGGAGCAGGAAGAGCAGTGTAATCGCGTAGAACATTCGGCCCAGCTGCTTTTCACCCTTGACCTCGTCCATGCCCAGTAGCCGCCGGCTAGCTGCATGCCCATTCTGCCGGATACCCAGCAGAGTTGGTGGCATGGGCCCACGGCCAAAGCCAGCGATCCAGTTGGCAGCAGCCTGGCCGGTAGCCCCAGGGCCATGGAATGTCCAGTTTTGGCTGATGGCGGGCACCATCTGCACTGGCTTCATCTTGCGGTGACGATACTCGAAGAGTAGCAGCTTGCCATAGACAGCATGTGTGGCTGCCATGAGCACAGCCAACATAAGCATAAAGCCCAGTGTGTCATTTGCTTTGAAGTAGCGATGCTCAAAGATGCACTGGTCTTCCTCTCGGATAAACTTGTAGGTGCCCACATCAAAGACAGGTGGGAAAGCCATGGCCACAGACAAGGTCCAGGCCATGCAGATGACAGCTGCGCATGTCCAGAGTGTCATGCGCTTGGCATAGAAGCGGTGGTGGGCGATGGCCATGTAGCGGGTGACGCTGATGCAGAACAGCATGAAGGCCGCATGGAAGCAAAAGAGCACAGCCATAAAGGCCACAATCTTACAGCTGAGTGCACTGAAGGTCCATGAGGAGCCATGGCGCACAGAAGCCAGTACAAAAGGGAAGCAGATGGCAGAGCGTATGCCATCGGCTAGGCACAGGTCCAGCAGAAAGTAGTAAGGAGCCTTGTGCAGGGCACGCTCCTTGAGCACCAGCAGGGACAAGATGGCATTGCCTGCCAGGCTTACACACATGATCAGTCCCAGCAGCACCAGCTTCACATAAGCCGATGCGGATGGCAGGGACAGTGCGCCGCTCACCTCCTCAGGCTCTCCGGTGGTGTTGGCCATGCTGAGGGGCAAGGGCTACCCCCAACCCTAGGGGGTCGGCCAGTCCAGTATTTGATGGGCCCCGGGGGACTCCATCGGTTGTCTTGCTGAGCTACACCTGCAAATGGAGACAATGGAGGGAGAGACAGAGACGGAGAGACAGAGAGATGGAGGCAGGGGACAGAAAAAAGGCAGAGACAGAGGAGTAAGGAATGAGATTGAAAAATGGAGACAAGGATATAAATGGATAGAAAACAACACAGAAATGGAAGGAATGGAACATGATGGGGGAGGGAGAAACAGATGAGGAAGAAACAGAGAGGGCAGGTTAGTGTGTCTATGAGCCCTTCCCAGACATTCCTGCTCCTACCCTCCTTGCTTGCTTTCTCTCCTAACGGCCTCAGATACCTTGTTCTCCACAGGCGGGGTTGTGGATGTCGGTCCAACTCTTGTTCCTATTTACAAGCCTTCAAGTTGTACTCAAGCATTGTTTTTTCACCGCTACCCATAATCCAGTATACACACACACACACACACACACACACACACACACACACACCCCTCAACTAAAAGTTGTACACAGTACTAATCCTAATTGTAATATACTTATTCATTTCTGTTGTAGTTCATGTTTTGTTTTGTCAAACTATTGACAGGCACTCATTAGATTTCTTTCTGTCTTTGGCTCTCTCCCATTTCCTCTCCCGCCCCTCCTTACTTTTTCTTCTTCTCTCTGTCTTTTCTTTTCAATGTACTGGGGATTGAATTTAGAGCCTCAGGCCTGGTAGGCAAGAGGTCTACCAATGAGCTATATCCCTAAACCCTTAAAAATTACTATTTAAATTTTTAATTTTGTAATGGGGTCTTGTGAAGTTGACCAGGCTGGCTATGAACACTTTCCCCAGCTCAGGCAGGCCTTGAACTTGGGATCATTCTGCCTCAGACTTCCATGTGCTAGGATTATAGCTCTATGCCACCGTGCTCAGCAAAAAATCTTTATTTGTGGTCAGGAATGTGGGTAGCATGCTCTCCGAGCAGTGAGAAGACTAATGTTGTTAAATGGTGCGTTTCAGAGATACAGTGATAGGAGATGAAGTCTCAGAAGACCAGATGTTGTAGGGCTGTGGATTATGATAAGGCCTCTGGCTTTTATTTTGTGTGAGTGTAGGATTATATATGAATATAAAAATGTAAGTATGCTTGTTGTGTTGGTTCATTGGAAAAGTATTTCTTTACTTTAGGTCATTCACTGTTTTAGGCATTGAGGATGCAGTTATGAATCAGAGAGATAAAAGATTCCTACTCTAGCACTTGGGAGGCAGAGGCAAATGGATCTCTGTGAGTTTGAGGCCAGCCTGGTCTACAGAATGAGTTCCAGGACAGCCAGAGCTACACAGAGAAACCCTGTCTCAACGAATGAACAAACAAACAGACAAACAAACCAAAAACGAAAAGAATAAAGCTTCCTAGTTTTGTGTAATTGACAAATTAGGTAATAAGAAGAGACATGGGTGAAGTTAGTATCTCAGATGATGACAATATTCTAAACTATAATCGTAAAGTAGAGGAGGAGGATTTAACGTGTCAGAGGAGAGGAGGGTATTGCAGTTTTCGATGAGCAGGATAGGGAGGGCTTCATAAAGGAGGAGTCATCTCAGCAAACAGGTGAGGATGTAAGTCCTGTGGCTGTTTAGGAGGAGAGAACTCTAGGCAGAAAGAATAGTCAGAACAAAGGCTCTGAGACGGAGCTACTCAGGGCACACCGAGAAAGAGCAAGGGAGCCATGGTGGGTGGAACACTGAGCAAAGGGCACGAGATGGGAAGTGAAGTCAGTTAGAGCGTCGGCAAGGACGTATCATGGAGGCCATAGTGAGGACTTTGATTCAGAATTGCTTGGGAGGGTTTTGAACAGAGGTAAGATGTGATTCGCATTCAGGGTTGAATACAATTCTCCGTGTTGCTGTGAGAGCAGGGCATGTTCCATAAAGGTATGAGGGAGTAGGGTAGGGAGATTAGTGAGGCTTCAGTAGTAATCAAGGTAAGAGGTCATAGCATCCCCATGCTCCTTTCCCTTTTCACCAGAATCTCTCTCTTCTATCTATATCATTTCGTCTTCAAATTTAGATTACCTGTCTCATCCTATTAGAACAGAAGCCGCATAGGGCAGGGTAGGCTCCCTCCCCTCTAAAAGATCAGCATCACGCACACAGTAGGTTCCTGGTGAAAAGATGCCAAGGGCTCCATGCAAGTATTCACACCGGAGTTGCCGACAGCACAGCCTGGGGAGCAGGGGAGTGCTTGTTGTGTGCAGGCAGGCAATGTGGGGTCATGACAGTGACAGCATTTCCCAGAGGGAGGGGAGCTGGGCCAGGCCATATGGAATTGAAGCAGGAGAGGCTCAGGATTACAGTTGGGGCTGGGGCTGGCCTGGGGACTAGTCTGGGGAGGTGAGTCTCAAAGTGGATGCCTTCTTACCGGCTCCTTCCTAGTGTTGTTTTCTAGCTCAGTACAGTCTGGTCTGTCGCCTGAAAGCAGTAATTTCTTTTTTGACAGCACTAAGAAGTCTCATAGCCAATGGCCTACTGAAATGAGAGGGTGCTAGCGAGGGGTTGGAGAGAAATACACACGGTCAGGTCTGATGTCTCCTACCCTTTCCATGCAGACAGCCCTCTGCTGTGTATGCGCTAAGGTGCACACACACACACACACACACACACACACACACACACACACACACACACACACACAAATATGCCTTAGCCTTAAGGGAAGACAAGGGGTAAAGGTTTGGCATAGAGACAAAGTATAAGAGGTAGTCAGATACACAGGGGTGACAAGAGAGGCATGTTTGTGGCAGGCAGATGGTGACATAGGATCAGGAAAGACAGAAAACCAGAAAAAAAGGACAGGGGAAGAAACAGACATGGAGAAAGAGAGGGGAGGAAGAATGACTTAAAAGAGACATCTAGATAACACAGAGAAACAGCAAATGATGGAGAGAGGAGACAGAAACGGTGGTTAAGGTTAGCCGAAGCGGACAGGGAGGGGGACGACACGTCTAGAACACAGCTCCTTAAACTATGGGTTGTAACTCCCTCCCTATGGGGCTGCATAACTGAATGTGAGGGTGTCGAGACATTTTACAAAATTTCTGGATGTGTAATAACCAAAAATTAATTCAACATTGGTATGATGAATCTCACGTGTTTCTGGCAGCACTTGCTTGTGTTGCATCATACATGCGTTATGGAAGCCATGCTTCTGAGCATACAACATGCATGCTTTGCATTGCACATGCCACCATACAATCCAAGGACAACACATGCTATCTGAAATGCCTCAGCTCAGACTTGACACTACTGTATGCTAGGAATTGCAATGTTTTTGTTGTACCTACAATTTTTTTCTTTTATAAAACATAATGGTTTAAGGACAGAAAATAAAACTTTAGTACTTTTCTACTGTCATGGAAGTATCAAATTAGCATGCCATTATAATATATTGTATTAGAATGTTTGATTTTAAAAGATTGCCATTTCAGGTGGATCTCTGTGAGTTCAAGGCCAGCTTGGTCTATGTAGAAAGTTCCAGGGCAGCTAGAGCTACATAGATCCTGTCTCAACCACCCTCCAATTAAAAAAAAAAATTAAAACTTGCTGTTTGAGTTGCTGATTTGAGTGTCATCAAAAAACCATTAGATGAATTTTGGCTTGGGAATAGGACAGAATTTCCAACAATTTTTTGAAAGGTCCCTAACCATACTTTCACCATTTTGTATTGCATATTTATGTGATGTGGGGTTCTCAGTATTGACAGTTATAAAAATCAAAATACCAGTCAACTCTTAAAAACATTGAAGATGCCTTATATGTTGCAGTATCAAATATTCAGAAAAGATTTAATTCTTTATGTAAAAAAGCACATCTATCTCAGTATGCAAATTTACCTTTGTCTTTAATGAATATGAAAATTATAGGCATGCCTGAGAATTTGTTAATTAATAGTAAATGTTTGATCTGTATACTTATTTTATATAACTATATACCTGGGGGTGCATGAGAAATTTCTTAGGTGAAAAAGGGTCAAAAATAGAAAAAAATATAAGGAACCATGATCTAGAACACTAGGGAGAGATAAGAGGGCAGTGAGAAACAGGTAGACACAGAGACAAAGCACACAAACATGTAGGGAGGGAGACATACTGAAACTGATATACTACTATGTAGCTCAGGGTCTCAGTAAAAACAAACGTTAAATCTAAAACCAACCCCCCTCAAAAAAAAAAAAAAAGAAAAAGAAAAAAAAAAAAAACCCCAGCCCCAAAACCAATACGGCAAGCAAACAAAGCCCCGGTGTTGCTGGGAAAGCTTGAAGAGGTTGCATAAATGAGGTCAGGTGCTCCTAAGCACAGTCTGGTAGCTGTAGGTTAGGCCCAGTCATGTGTGTGCACAGAGCATATCTGCCTGTGTCTGGACACTCTTGTGCACAGACCTACATACTCACAGGCATCCGAAAACACAGCCTCATGGACAGCAAGCAGACACACACAGACACACAGACACACATGCACAGACAGACAGACAGACAGACAGACAGACAGACACACACACACACACACACACACACACACACAAACACACGCAGTGCGCATGCACAGATGGAGGAAGTTCTTGTACCCCGTCTTAGTACAGGGCTTTGTTCTTTACAAAGGCATTACTGCCCCCTAGGGGACATTTTAGAAATCTACAGGAACAGGGTGGGGCTGGGGTGCGAAGGGGTGTAAGTTGCCTCATGTTAAGAGTGCAAGCTGCCCTAATATTTAGGGATGTAAAGAGAGAGTGTCCATCACTTAGTGATATGTGGGGTAGTCTGACATTACTAACACATGTCCTGCAACTCCTAGGATTATAATTAAGCTCAAAATCTCTTTTATTAAGATAAATGAGATTTCTCATAGTTTTAGCATACCCTGAATTATCCAGGAATGTGGCTGTCATGTGAATCAAGAGGAGACTGTATCTTGCTTTTTGGTGCACTTCACTAGTTTGTAAAATCTCAAAATGACAGCCTCTGCCTGTCATTTTCCTGTACTTTGTGAACCCGATTTTTTCTTCTAAA